CGTCCAGTACTTCAAAGGCCTACGTCGTCAAGGCTGGCGAGGTCTTCGACCGGCAAGATGAAGACGTTCGAGCGCTCCGACGTGTCGTGCGAGGGCCAAATCCGAAAGCGGGGCGGACACGCCCGTGTTCAAACGTCGAGGCCCGGCGGCCACCTCAAGAATGTCATCATCGGCAAGAACCAAATGGAGGGCGTGCACTGCGACAAGCACGACTGCATTATCGAGAACGTGTGGTGGGATGACGTGTGCGAGGACGCCCTCAGTGTCAAGGGCGGAACGGCGTCCAGCGTGACCAAGGTCATCGGTGGCGGGGCCCGGTACGCCGACGACAAGGTCATCCAGCACAACGGCTTCGGTACGGTCGACATCGACGGCTTCTACGGCGAGGACATCAGCAAGCTCTACCGTTCGTGCGGCACTTGTGGCAACAGACCCAAGAAGGTGTCCGTGTCCAACACGTACGTCCTCAACCCGACCAACGCCATCGTGACGGTCAACAAGAACTGGGGCGACCAGGCCACACTCCGCAACGTCTGGGTCAAGTCGAGCAAGCCCACCGTCAAGGTGTGCCAGTGGTCGCAGGGTAACGCCAACGGTGAGCCCAAGATGCTGGGTCACGGTCCGTCCAACCCTCTGTGCAAGTACTCGGAGAGCGACGTCCACATCAACGAGGACATTTCCGAGGCAGCCACGACTCCTTCGTCGCAAGAGGAGCAGACCGATGACGGTGACTCGGTCACGCAGATGGAAGCCACGCCGATACCCACCATGAAACCTTCCAAGAAGTCGAAGACCCCCGTGACCACGGCCCCCACCATTGAGGAGAACGTTGAGGATGTCGAGCAGACCATCCAGCAGACCGTCAGGAACACGACGGCTTCCGTCCCGGACGGCACGTGGCCGGCCAGCACGGGCATCGTCCGCTACAAGAAGCCGTACACGATCAAGGCCGGCGAGGTGTTCGATGGCAAGATGCAGACCTTCGAGCGCTCGGACATCACGTGCTCGGGTGGTGAGGGCCAGAAGGACACGGCCGTCTTCCTCGTGGAGGCTGGCGGCACTCTGAAGAACGCCATCATCGGCAAGAACCAGAAGGAGGGCGTGCACTGCGACTACCACGACTGCACCATTGAGAACGTGTGGTGGGATGACGTGTGCGAGGACGCGCTGAGCATCAAGGGTGGCTCGGCGTCCAGCGTGACGACCGTGACCAACTGCGGCGCCCGCTACGCCGAGGACAAGGTGGTGCAGCACAACGGCTACGGCACCGTCAAGATCAAGGGTTTCTTCGCGCAGGAGTTCGGCAAGCTCTACCGTTCGTGCGGCACGTGCGGCAACATTCCCCGTAAGGTGACGGTGGAGAACGTGTTCGCCATCGACCCGCTCGTGAGCGTCGTCACTGTCAACAAGAACAACAACGACCAGGCCACGCTCAAGAACATCTACGTCAAGACGACGGACGGCAAGAAGAACGTCAAGGTGTGTCAGTGGTCGCAGGCCAGCAAGACGCCGTCGAACGTGGGCGACGGTCCGTCGGGCAAGCTTTGCCAGTACTCGACGAGTGATGTGCACATCAACGAGGATTGAACTCGTTGATATCTCACACAACGGAAGTGTATGGCCGATAGAAGTGAAGTAGTGAAGTGTAGTAGTATTGTGTTGTAGCGTACGTGCGAGTAGCTTTAAAGCTAATTGATGGTGTCTTTGATAGAGAACATTCAACTAAACCCCTTGGCATCTTACAATATGGAAGTAGAGGATCCATAGACTGAAACAAGTCGAGAGGTGTACTACTTCTGAAGTAGTATGTTGCTGCAACTGATGGTGCCTGCTTTAGAAACTTACGCTATGGATGTCGGACGCGAGCTTTTGTATCACCAATGAATCTTTGGACAGCAGAAAATGTTGACCCAAACTTACATGGCAGACATCTTCTCATGGAGTAGCACAGAGCACGGTCGCGCACGCTTGAAGAACCTTATTGAGTTTTTAGTCCCTTAAAAGAAGAAGTACCTCTGATGATGAAAGGTGGCCTTCTGTTTTGCTTTAGTTGTTTTCTTTTCTTTTTCTATAGAAGCCTTATATGCCTAAATGCGCAAAAGAAGAAGTAGTTCTGCAGTGGAATGCAGCAAAAATATTGTGAATAGGGGCGTGGTGGCATATAATGAATTTATGAACTGTAAATTTGGGTTTGAGAGTAAAAGTTGTAGGCAGGAGAAGAAACGATCTTCAGGATACTCTTAACCTGTTATTTCAGCGAAGCCTACAGTACAAAAAGCGTGCATTTCGTTGTGCACTCGAGTCATGGCATTTCCTTGAGGATCTGAAGCATCTGTTCCAATGGAACTTCCATTAGTCGACTTAATCTCCACGCCATGGTCTTCTTGGATGCCATACGTGAGTGTCTACAATAGCTCGGTGACCGAGGTTGTGGATGGCGGTGCGCTGGAATGTGAGCACGAACCAAACTTCGTTATAGATTGTCCATGCTTCCCACCGAAGTCGCTCTCCGCTGTAGCGATAGCTAGCGTTACGACGAATGCGGCATCGCTAAATGTACTTAAATGTGAAGAAAACTTGAGGCTGATGGCGGTAGTCGCCATCGACAGTCACTAGTAGGGCATCCACTGCCTATTCTGAGTTGCTCAAAAACTTATCAAAAATTGAGTATCCGCTCAAACACGCCACGCTAACTCTTTCACTACTTAATCGCTCCTACTCGGACTACATTAATAGTAAAATGGCAAAATTTGCCTCAATTTGCCCCAAATTGAACAAACCATCCATTCAATCAACGTGGCAGTGTGCTCGTATCCGGGGGAACAACAAGGAACCAGGATCTGATGGCCCGGCACACATGTTTTTCGAGCTACTAGTACCTGCAGACAAAAGGGCAACGACAGAAGAAACAATCTCAGGTTTGCAGGCTAAATGACAAATTTCTAACGAAAGAAACACAGTCGCAGATGTTCGCAGCGTCGGCACTGAGCATTTTTCGTACCAGCCTAAACGGCCTATTCGAGAGTAATCCTCATCGTTTTTTTTAGCATGCACCTATTGGATGCCGGCTTGGAGCAGATATAATTTCTGGCCTTGTTAAATAATGAATGTCGGCTAGACCTATGCCTTTTAAGTTGAGCGCTCCCGTCTCAGGGGGCGCTAGCAAATTCGAACGGCACCGTTCGAATAGCAAAAAGCGTCAAGTCGCTTCCAACGCGTTGACCGGCCGTGTCAAGTTCACAGATGAGATCTATCGCACCGATTTGACTCGCACGCGAAAAAGCCAACATTTGTTCCGCCAGCCGCAAACCGTAACCAGCAGCACGACACCCGGAAACACCTGGAATGCCAGATCTTTGCGGTTTTACGATACTGAATAGAGTTTGCAAAGCGGACGGTGTCCACCATACTGTATGCCATGGCAGTGTCGTTGCAGCAACACTAAGGCCGTGGAGTCGTGGAAGCTTACACACGGTCATGACGCCTTGATGATCGCAGTGTCTAAAGCGATTAAGTGGCTTTGGCTCATTAATCAATTCGCCTCCTCTCGGGCAAACAACTTGGCTAAACCCTTCACACCAATCCACTATGGTCAAGTCTTTCGCGCCGTTCGTGACGTCTGCGGCTCTCCTCCTGGCGGTTGCCACCTCGGCTTCCTTGCCGAACGGGTCGTGGCCAGCCAGCAAGGGCACCGTGCAGTACTCAAAGGCCTACGTCGTCAAGGCTGGCGAGGTCTTCGACGGCAAGATGAAGACGTTCGAGCGCTCCGACGTGTCGTGCGAGGGCCAATCCGAAAGCGGGGCGGACACGGCCGTGTTCAACGTCGAGGCCGGCGGCCACCTCAAGAATGTCATCATCGGCAAGAACCAAATGGAGGGCGTGCACTGCGACAAGCACGACTGCATTATCGAGAACGTGTGGTGGGATGACGTGTGCGAGGACGCCCTCAGTGTCAAGGGCGGAACGGCGTCCAGCGTGACCAAGGTCATCGGTGGCGGGGCCCGGTACGCCGACGACAAGGTCATCCAGCACAACGGCTTCGGTACGGTCGACATCGACGGCTTCTACGGCGAGGACATCAGCAAGCTCTACCGTTCGTGCGGCACTTGTGGCAACAGACCCAAGAAGGTGTCCGTGTCCAACACGTACGTCCTCAACCCGACCAACGCCATCGTGACGGTCAACAAGAACTGGGGCGACCAGGCCACACTCCACAACGTCTGGGTCAAGTCGAGCAAGCCCACCGTCAAGGTGTGCCAGTGGTCGCAGGGTAACGCCAACGGTGAGCCCAAGATGCTGGGCCACGGTCCGTCCAACCCTCTGTGCAAGTACTCGGAGAGTCCGAGGCAGCCACGACTCCTTCGTCGCAAGAGGAGCAGACCGATGACGGTGACTCGGTCACGCAGATGGAAGCCACGCCGACACCCACCATGAAACCTTCCAAGAAGTCGAAGACCCCCGTGACCACGGCCCCCACCATTGAGGAGAACGTTGAGGATGTCGAGCAGACCATCCAGCAGACCGTCAGGAACACGACGGCTTCCGTCCCGGACGGCACGTGGCCGGCCAGCACGGGCATCGTCCGCTACAAGAAGCCGTACACGATCAAGGCCGGCGAGGTGTTCGATGGCAAGATGCAGACCTTCGAGCGCTCGGACATCACGTGCTCGGGTGGTGAGGGCCAGAAAGACACGGCCGTCTTCCTCGTGGAGGCTGGCGGCACTCTGAAGAACGCCATCATCGGCAAGAACCAGAAGGAGGGCGTGCACTGCGACTACCACGACTGCACCATTGAGAACGTGTGGTGGGATGACGTGTGCGAGGACGCGCTGAGCATCAAGGGTGGCTCGGCGTCCAGCGTGACGACCGTGACCAACTGCGGCGCCCGCTACGCCGAGGACAAGGTGGTACAGCACAACGGCTACGGCACCGTCAAGATCAAGGGTTTCTTCGCGCAGGAGTTCGGCAGGCTCTACCGTTCGTGCGGCACGTGCGGCAACATTCCCCGTAAGGTGACGGTGGAGAACGTGTACGCCATCGACCCGCTTGTGAGCGTCGTCACTGTCAACAAAAACAACAACGACCAGGCCACGCTCAAGAACATCTTCGTCAAGACGACGGACGGCAAGAAGAACGTCAAGGTGTGTCAGTGGTCGCAGGCCAGCAAGACGCCGTCGAACGTGGGCGACGGTCCGTCGGGCAAGCTTTGCCAGTACTCGACGAGTGATGTGCACATCAACGAGGATTGAACTCGTTGATATCTCACACAACAGAAGTGTATGGCCGATAGAAGTGAAGTAGTGAAGTGTAGTAGTATTTTGTAGTAGCGTACGTGCGAGTAGCTTTAAAGCTAATTGATGGTGTCTTTGATAGAAAACATTCAACTAAACCCCTTGGCATCTTACAATATGGAAGTAGAGGATCCATAGATCGAGAGGTGTACTACTTCTGAAGTAGTATTGCGAAGCGGGGCGATTCGGAGAAAGACCCGAAGCGAACGGCAAATCGACGTTGCGTTGTTACAGGCCAAAATAAAGAAAAATGTTGTTTTTATCCAATGCGATGCTTGATACACGTTGAAGTTGAAGTGACAGCGCGCAGTGCGCAAAAGACCATGGAGGAGGCTGCTACGCGGCAGCATGCCCACGCCGACACAATGTATCATTGCTTGTATGCGTACTACAAGCTTGGCTACTCGCAGAAACACCTCGCGCATATCTTTAACAAGTCGGAACGGACCATTCGCAACTGGGTGAATGTCTATCAGAATACGGGAACCTTCCAGCGCATCAGTACCGCCTCTAAAAGGCAATTCATGAATGCTCAGCGACGCTGGATGCTCGATTACTATCATGAACATCCTCTCGCGTTCCTGGATGAGGCCCAAGACGCCTTCAAGAAAGCACAATCCGTCGACATCTCGAAGTCTTCTGTCTGGAGAATAATTCACGAGTTTGGGCTCCCATGGAAAGTTTTAGAGCGCCGCGCAATGCATATTAAGGAGCGAGATAATTTTCGCTTTGTGGAGGAGCTAAGCCACATTGATTGGTACCACCAGAACTTGGTATTCCTGGATGAGGTTGGCTTCGACAACGGATGAATGATCCGCAAGCGCGGGTATTCACTTCGTGGGAAGAAGGTTGCTATTCGAGATGATTTTGAGCGAAAACTGCGAGTGTCCATCTTGGCATTTATTGGCGTGAATGGAGTTCTAGACTACTTCAGCACGGAGGGCACCTTTGATCGCTTGGAGTTCACAAAATGCTGTCAAGAGTTTGCTCACTGTCCTGGTGGACCAGTACGCCAATATCCTGGTCGTAATTCTGGTTGAATTTTGGATGGTGCTACAACCCATAGGCACCCGGAGATCATCTACTACCTTCGAACCGTGGGCATTGTAGCAATTTTCTTACCCGCATATTGCCCCTTTTTCAATCCAATGAAAATCCTGTTCGGCTACGTGAAGAGGTCATTTCAACGTCACTACCTCGAGACAAGTGGGCGAGACTTGATGCCCTTTGTCGTCCTGACATTCCGCCGATACCAACGGTGCAATATGAGCAAGGATTTCGAGCACTGCGACTGGGAGATCCAAGGATACTTTGATCCTGTCGGACCGCTTTCAATTGAGCAATCAAAGCAACCAGAAATGAATGCAGAAGACTCCAATCAAGATCACTTAGAATTTACCGAGATTGAAGAGGCGTAACGAAGCTTCCCAAACAATCGTAGCGTAAATTCTTCTTGCGTAAACGTAAACCTCAAAAATTGCAAAACAAAATAGCGCGTTTTACTCAGCATGGTCTGTGTCTTCAACGTTTTTAATTCTTGGCAGCGGGTCAATTATCTGGCATGGTGACGGGCGCACCATGTCGCGGAGGACCCCTTCAATGGCGGCCTTACGCGCCGTCAAGCGCTGCTCTTGTTCGTCAGCAAAGCGTACAGTAGAAACCAGGATGCGACGGAGTTGCTGGCAGTCAGTGTGGTGAAGTGCTTTTTCAGAAATAAGAGAATGGTCCTGACGCGGGGTCACTATCCCGAATCAGTGACAGTTTCAAGTGATTATAGAGGATTTGGGTTGTTTGGCACGGGTGCAAGTTGCCTGTGGTGGATTAGCCATGGCGAGCAGCACCCCGTATGGAATGACGATGGATCTGATATGAGCGATGTACGAGAAGGCAAGATCCACCAAGACTTACCTCGGATCCACCCTTACCTGGATTCACTAAGATGGATATGGGATATACTATACAAGAGTGGATCGAGTGTGGATCCTATGAAGGAAGGATGGTCGGTGCCCTCTGAAGGTGGATCTAGTAGCCACGGCTAATGAAGAGTCAAGATCCACCGCGAGGTACCCCGGATCCCATACTTCCGAGTTCGGATCCAAGGAGGGAGGATCCCGCCTGGAGGGACCTGGATCCAGGGTATAGGGATGAGGGATACAGTGGATCTCGAACTTTCGTGGGACAACGGAGATCACAGACGGTTGCGAGATGATGTTGGATGATTGGAGAGCTCGGATCCACGGCGAGTGTACCATTACAGTGAGGTGGATCCAAGCGACCTGGATCCGGATGAGTGTACCCATAATAGGGTGACCATGATGATTACGTCATATATCCGGTGGATCTGAAGATAACACAGCTGGGATGATGGGTCAAGGGAAGAAGGGACATGCAGCCGAGCCTGGTAAGGGATTTAGCAGATGAAAGACATAGAAGGTAGAAACCCAGGCAGGTATAGGCTTAAATATCAATACAGACTCCAATTTGCACAGTGACACGCAAGTGCCTTCCTGCCCTCAAGAACCGGAACTACATTGGCCGTACGAGCTCCGAGAAGGTTGGGAATTGCGAATCTAGTGTTGGTAGTGATAACTGGATAATACATTGGCCAGATCCTACAACCTAGTGAGCTTTTCCTTTACTTGTGCAGATCCGACAGGTTAACCGAATTTACTACTTGGTCGGTTACACCCTAGGGGCTCTCAACTTTCAAGATCCCGTCACAGGAGGCGGCAAGTACGACTTAAAGGACAACACAAAGGCAAGGGAACACACCCGCAAGGCAACCCTACGGCCAGATCCACGATCTAGGCCCCGGATCCATAAGCTCGAATATTCGCTTAGGATACGGAACCATCCACGGACGCAGAGTGAAGATTTTCCACTGCTGCTCCACCCCATCCCCACGTCTCGCCAAGACACTCAAGCTTCACCACTTGAACTCTTCGGAAGTTACCGAGAGAGCAGATCCCGCCCTACCGACGGGTACACAAGGTGAGGAAAGTTCAGCAGAACACGGATCATCGGGGGACCCCCTCCGTTAGTCGGTGTCTGGGCGCAGTTGGTAAGTTGGATCTGGCAATCTCGCAGATTTGCTGATCCCGCTACACCACAATGGTGCGCGTGCCCGGATCTTTTGGTGACTCGGGATTTCACCGTGAGTCCCAAGAAGATGCTCAAGTGAAGATTGAGCCAGGGGAAGAGGCGTCGTCGGAGGTCGGATCGACGAAGACGCTGCTGAATGAAACAAGATCCGCGGATCGATGGAGTTTTGGGAGGAACTCTGTCGACGGAAGAGAGGTGGATCCGGATCCGGATCTAGAAGAGAAACCTCTCTATCCTCCCCAGGTCCCCTCGGGGACCCCTGCGGATCTTGACGCAAGTCAAGATCCGCTAACAAAACAAGGGAAAGTGAAGGCGAAACGGTATGCATTTGCAGATTCACCGGTTAAGCCAACACCGTACCTAAACCCAAGCCCGCTAGTCGAAGAAACAAGAAAGAAGACGAAAACGAGTAAGACTACGCGGAAGAAGATGCAAGCTCCAGAGTCGGAAGAAGACCAAGCTGGATCCAGGTCAAGCTGGTCCGACAAGGATCTCGAGTTTGTGTATCGCCACCAAGCTTTACGCGACTTCCTGCATCAAGATCCTGTCATGCAGATCCTGGA